CGGGAAAAAGAAAGGACGATTTTAGCGCGTCGCATTTTTCCAACCTCGTTTTTTTGCCCGAATGACGGCTCAGCGGGGTGGGGGGGCGCAAGAGAGGCTTGCCCGCGCGAAGAAACGCCCCGTGCACACGACCGTTGGGCGGTTGGAAGCCGCACGCGGTCGCGGGGGTGGAGAGCGGAAACGGGCAGCCGAGGGAGGGTGGGGGGGGCGGGTTGGATGGGACTGGGGTGTACGGGGGGCCAGAGAGTTGAGAAGGCAAGGGGATGGGCAGCAACGGGCAGGGGTTGGGCCAGCTGAGGGCAAGGAAAAAGGGCGGGCAGAGGGTGAGCAGAGGGGCGAGCGGTGCAAGGGAGGCACCAGAGGGAGGAAACCAGTTGCATCAAGGTGGGAGGTGAGGGCTTGCGGGGGGTGGAACAGGGTAGGGAAGGGGCAGAACGGGAGGATGTGGGTAGGGGGGGTGCGGGGAGAAGAGAGAGAGAGAAGAGGGTAGGAACGAGAGGGGGCTTGGGGTTTTGAAGGGCTAATGGTAGTAAGGGGGCAGCAAGGAGGGGGAGAAGGGGGGCGTAGCAAGGGGAAGGCAAAGGACATGGGGGGAGGAGGGGAGGGGAAGGGAGGGAAGAGGCTGAACGTACAATGCGGAGAACCGAGGGGCATGGATGGTAGGGAACAAGGGGGGTGCGGGAAATCAAGGGCAGGGAGGGGAGAAGCGATGGGTGCGGGCAAAGCAAAGGAGGGGCAGAGGGGGTACAAGGTAAGCACAGGGAGGGAAGTAATGTGGGGCAGGGAGGGGAGAAACCAAGGACAGGGGCACGAGCAGCCAGGGGCAAGGAGGGAACGGGGGTGAGGCACGGAGAAAGCAAGGGAGGTGCAGGGAGAGGGGAAAACGGGCGTGGGGGGGTGGAAAACGAGGGGCAGGGCGGAGAGGAGGGAGAGGCAGGGGGGGGGAGAAGCTGAGCACACAGAGGGAGGAAACGTGGGGCAGGGAGGTGGAAAGCCAAGGGCAAGGGGGGGAGAGTGGAGGTGCAGGGAGAGGGGGGAGGAGGGGAGCGGAGAAAAGCAGCGAGGTGCAGGGAGGGGAGACACCGAGCGCAGAGGGGCCAGAAACGAGGGGTGGGGTGCGGATTGGGGAGAGGCAGGGAGTGGAGTAGCTTAACGAGTGGAAGGAAGAAGCGTGCGGCAGAGTGGGGGAGGGGGGAGGAGAAGGTAAACGAGGGGAGGGCACGGGCGGGGAGGGACGAGCGGCGGGCGGTGGGAAACGGCAAGGGGGGGCAGGGAGGGTCAAAAGAGGCAGCGAGGGAGCGGGCACACGGAGGGTAGGGGCGGGGGGAGCGGATGGCACGAGGGGGCAGGGGGTGTGACTATGAAGGGGGGACCCCGGGCAAGGGGCGTGTACCGGTCGGGGCATGGGACGGACGTGGTACGATCATACCTCGGCTACTACGCCGGATCCCATCAGAACTCCGAAGCTAAGCGCCGGTGGGCGAGAGCAGTACTGGGCAGGGTGACCTCCCGGGAAGTCCTCGTGTTGTACCCATTTATGCCCCTTGTTCGGCACGTGCCGGGGAGGGGCAAGCGGGAAAAAGAAAGGACGATTTGAGCGCGTCGCATTTTTCCAACCTCATTTTTTTGCCCGAATGACGGCTCAGCGGGGTGGGGGGGCGCAAGAGAGGCTTGCCCGCGCGAAGAAACGCCCCGTGCACACGACCGTTGGGCGGTTGGAAGCCGCACGCGGTCGCGGGGGTGGAGAGCGGAAACGGGCAGCCGAGGGAGGGTGGGGGCGGTTGGATGGGACTGGGGTGTACGGGGGGCCAGAGAGTTGAGAAGGCAAGGGGATGGGCAGCAACGGGCAGGGGTTGGGCCAGCTGAGGGCAAGGAAAAAGGGCGGGCAGAGGGTGAGCAGAGGGGCGAGCGGTGCAAGGGAGGCACCAGAGGGAGGAAACCAGTTGCATCAAGGTGGGAGGTGAGGGGCTTGCAGGGGGGTGGAACAGGGGTAGGGAAGGGGCAGAACGGGAGGATGTGGGTAGGGGGGGTGCGAGGAGAAGAGAGAGAGAGAGAGAGGGTAGGAACGAGAGGGGGCTTGGGGTTTTGAAGGGCTAATGGTAGTAGGGGGGGGGGGCAGCAAGGAGGGGGAGAAGGGGGGCGTAGCAAGGGGAAAGCAAAGGGCATGGGGGGAGGAGGGGAGGGGAAGGGAGGGAAGAGGCTGAACGTACAATGCGGAGAACCGAGGGGCATGGATGGTAGGGAACAAGGGCAGAGGTGCGGGAAATCAAGGGCAGGGAGGGGAGAAGCGATGGGTGCGGGCAAAGCAAAGGAGGGGCAGAGGGGGTACAAGGTAAGCACAGGGAGGGAAGTAATGTGGGGCAGGGAGGGGAGAAACCAAGGACAGGGGCACGAGCAGCCAGGGGCAAGGAGGGAACGGGGGTGAGGCACGGAGAAAGCAAGGGAGGTGCAGGGAGAGGGGAAAACGGGCGTGGGGGGGTGGAAAACGAGGGGCAGGGCGGAGAGGAGGGAGAGGCAGGGGGGGGGAGAAGCTGAGCACACAGAGGGAGGAAACGTGGGGCAGGGAGGTGGAAAGCCAAGGGCAAGGGGGGGAGAGTGGAGGTGCAGGGAGAGGGGGGAGGAGGGGAGCGGAGAAAAGCAGCGAGGTGCAGGGAGGGGAGACACCGAGCGCAGAGGGGCCAGAAACGAGGGGTGGGGTGCGGATTGGGGAGAGGCAGGGAGTGGAGTAGCTTAACGAGTGGAAGGAAGAAGCGTGCGGCAGAGTGGGGGAGGGGGGAGGAGAAGGTAAACGAGGGGAGGGCACGGGCGGGGAGGGACGAGCGGCGGGCGGTGGGAAACGGCAAGGGGGGGCAGGGAGGGTCAAAAGAGGCAGCGAGGGAGCGGGCACACGGAGGGTAGGGGCGGGGGGAGCGGATGGCACGAGGGGGCAGGGGGTGTGACTATGAAGGGGGGACCCCGGGCAAGGGGCGTGTACCGGTCGGGGCATGGGACGGACGTGGTACGATCATACCTCGGCTACTACGCCGGATCCCATCAGAACTCCGAAGCTAAGCGCCGGTGGGCGAGAGCAGTACTGGGCTGGGTGACCTCCCGGGAAGTCCTCGTGTTGTACCCATTTATGCCCCTTGCTCGGCACGTGCCGGGGAGGGGCAAGCGGGAAAAAGAAAGGACGATTTGAGCGCGTCGCATTTTTCCAACCTCGTTTTTTTGCCCGAATGACGGCTCAGCGGGGTGGGGGGGCGCAAGAGAGGCTTGCCCGCGCGAAGAAACGCCCCGTGCACACGACCGTTGGGCGGTTGGAAGCCGCACGCGGTCGCGGGGGTGGAGAGCGGAAACGGGCAGCCGAGGGAGGGTGGGGGCGGTTGGATGGGACTGGGGTGTACGGGGGGCCAGAGAGTTGAGAAGGCAAGGGGATGGGCAGCAACGGGCAGGGGTTGGGCCAGCTGAGGGCAAGGAAAAAGGGCGGGCAGAGGGTGAGCAGAGGGGCGAGCGGTGCAAGGGAGGCACCAGAGGGAGGAAACCAGTTGCATCAAGGTGGGAGGTGAGGGGCTTGCAGGGGGGTGGAACAGGGGTAGGGAAGGGGCAGAACGGGAGGATGTGGGTAGGGGGGGTGCGGGGAGAAGAGAGAGAGAGAGAGAGGGTAGGAACGAGAGGGGGCTTGGGGTTTTGAAGGGCTAATGGTAGTAAGGGGGCAGCAAGGAGGGGGAGAAGGGGGGCGTAGCAAGGGGAAAGCAAAGGGCATGGGGGGAGGAGGGGAGGGGAAGGGAGGGAAGAGGCTGAACGTACAATGCGGAGAACCGAGGGGCATGGATGGTAGGGAACAAGGGCAGAGGTGCGGGAAATCAAGGGCAGGGAGGGGAGAAGCGATGGGTGCGGGCAAAGCAAAGGAGGGGCAGAGGGGGTACAAGGTAAGCACAGGGAGGGAAGTAATGTGGGGCAGGGAGGGGAGAAACCAAGGACAGGGGCACGAGCAGCCAGGGGCAAGGAGGGAACGGGGGTGAGGCACGGAGAAAGCAAGGGAGGTGCAGGGAGAGGGGAAAACGGGCGTGGGGGGGTGGAAAACGAGGGGCAGGGCGGAGAGGAGGGAGAGGCAGGGGGGGGGAGAAGCTGAGCACACAGAGGGAGGAAACGTGGGGCAGGGAGGTGGAAAGCCAAGGGCAAGGGGGGGAGAGTGGAGGTGCAGGGAGAGGGGGGAGGAGGGGAGCGGAGAAAAGCAGCGAGGTGCAGGGAGGGGAGACACCGAGCGCAGAGGGGCCAGAAACGAGGGGTGGGGTGCGGATTGGGGAGAGGCAGGGAGTGGAGTAGCTTAACGAGTGGAAGGAAGAAGCGTGCGGCAGAGTGGGGGAGGGGGGAGGAGAAGGTAAACGAGGGGAGGGCACGGGCGGGGAGGGACGAGCGGCGGGCGGTGGGAAACGGCAAGGGGGGGCAGGGAGGGTCAAAAGAGGCAGCGAGGGAGCGGGCACACGGAGGGTAGGGGCGGGGGGAGCGGATGGCACGAGGGGGCAGGGGGTGTGACTATGAAGGGGGGACCCCGGGCAAGGGGCGTGTACCGGTCGGGGCATGGGACGGATGTGGTACGATCATACCTCGGCTACTACGCCGGATCCCATCAGAACTCCGAAGCTAAGCGCCGGTGGGCGAGAGCAGTTATTCATTAATAAGGGAAAGTCAAATACAAGTCGAATATAATGGTTTTTCCAAAACTAGGAAATTTCGGCATGACCATTTCCCTATGAGGACGGTAAATATATATTAGTAGGTAACAAGGGAAAGAGAGAAAAGGGAAGAAAGGATCATGAGGTAAGAAGAGGTAGTAGGAGACAGAAGAGAGTGGTGGGAAGAGAAAAGAAGGATAGAAGAAGGGAAAGAAAGAGGAAGGTGGAAGGAGAAGAGAAGAAAGGGAGAGAGACTAAGGAGGAGGAAACACCTAGGGACCAAACACGGCAGCAACCCGCACGACAGCGCGGGCCCAGTGTTTCAAGCACAGCCACTATTGTTTTCTACACATACGCATCATATATATATTGCATGTCTGCAGCACTCTCGAAGCACCCTGTGATATGGTGCCAGGTACCCTGCCCCGCACCCAGTGGAACCGGTGCGGGCATCCACCCGTCGTCGGACCCCCCCGCCTGCCGCACCGCATGCTGGATGATACATTGAGCCTGCGCGCGCTGCAGCGCCACGGAGAGGCGTGTAGTGAGTCCTGCCTCAAATATCCGTGCCGATCCGTCATCCCCCCCTCCCCTATCCCTCCTCCGCTGTGCTATCCGCTTTGCGCAGAGCCCCAGAAACTGACGCAGCGGCTCGCTGAGAAGGCCAAAGGTCTCCACCACGCACGCGTAAAAGTGTGGTGCCGGCTGCAACCCCTCTAAGTGCGGCCCCCAGTGACGCAGCTTCTCCTGCACCCGCCTAGCTGCTGCCACTCCAATCTGTGTGGGGGTCGCCCGTCTCAGCTGCACGTTCCCCTCCCGCTGTGGATCCGCTATGGAGACATCCACAAGGACCATCAGACCCTGCCCAACGTCGCGGCACGTGAGGTCTGGGATGCGGGAAGGGGTGCCTACGCGGCCTGTGCGTCCGACTGGTCCCTGCTGCTGCGCGGGCTGCTGCCCTGTCTGGTCCCTCGGTGCCTCCTCTCCGGTCGTCTCTCTCCCCCTGCCCTCTCCTCCGCCCGCCTGTCCTCTTCCCTCCCCCTCTCTACCCTCCCCCAACCCTCCCCACCCCTCTACTCGATCCCCTGCTGCCTCTCTCACTCCCTGGTCCTCCCCTCCCGATCCCGCTGCCCCCCCTGCACCTCCGTCCGCTCTTTGCTGCTCCCGCTCCTGACCCACCCCCGGGCCCAAACCCGAAGGCGCGGCGCCCTGGGCCTGCGGCCTCCGCTGGCTCTCCTGCCGCTGTCTCTGCTGTTCCCCCTCCTCGCCCTGGCCAGTCTGCTCCCCCTGCCGCCCCCTCAGCCCCCCTGCCCCTCGTGCCACCCGCCCCCGCCGCTGATGCTGTCCCCACTGCCCGTCGCCACCCGGCAGTCGCGCCTCGCCCCTCTGCTCCAGCGGTCCCCCAGCCCGTGTCCCCCCTCCCGCCACCGGCAGTCCCTGCAGCCTCGCTCGAGCCTCCTCTAACTGTGTGAACAGCGTAGAGTCCTCCACCTTCACCGCGAAACCCGCCTCGACCGCGAAGTCTCGGAGCATGAACTTCACCGTGTCGTGGATGGTCGTGGCGACGCCGAAACGTGGGCACCGGACCGCGTGATGAGGCACCGTCATGTCGTCGATCGCCTGTCCACAGGAGCACTGACCTGTAAGGGCTAACTGGGGGATAGGGAGACCAAGACGAGATGATGAAGCCACCTGCCACAGCGCCTCTGAGAGGCGCAGTGGATCGGCATACGGCACCGACTGCAACCACGCTCCTGCACCTCCGCCCTGAAGGGAAGTCAAACGGGCAAGGTGCAAGGGAGAGGTGTGACGGGCACGCACGGCCTCCAAAGCGTGCGCCTCCAGAAGGCGGCTCGCTCCTGCAAAAAGGGAATCGGGAGAGGCAGAAGCGCAAGAGGGCCAGGAGGGAAGGAGAGAGAGGACGTCAGGTGGGAGACCCTCTAGCGCCAGCTGTAGAGCCCGGTCGATCTGCTCTGGCTCCCCTGAAGCGAAGCTCTGCCGAAACACCTCGCCGCACGCAGGGAGAGAACAAAGAATGGGTGCACACTGCACCCAAGAGCACACGTAACTCACCGGGGCGATGCGCGCCATGCGCCGAATGCCGAAGCCCCCGAGGCGGATGGGGAGGAAGATCTGGTCTTGGGCGGCCTCTCGCACGTCCTCGCGACAAGCCCAGGTCCCCGGCACTAGAAGCTGCTGAAATGTCTCACCCAAGCGTGCGTCCCACTGTGTGAAACTGGAGAGCACCGCGGGTGAGGGAGGGACGGTCCTGGACAAGTACTGCGGGCGAGTGCTGACACACGCCGAAAGAAGACGAGCAGCTGTCTGGGGCTGGCGTAACCTCGGGAGCCAGGGTAGCACCCGCCCCATCCTCTCAAGACGATCTGGGAGGCTACGCTCCACAAACGAGACGCTGCCCACTGGCACGCCCGTCACCGTGAGTCCTCGGCGTGCGACCTCGATCCCCAGGCTCGTGAAAGCCTCTGCATCCCTGGACCGGTAGGCCTCTGTCTGGTAGACGAGGCACTTGTGCGACTGGACCGCAAGGCCCATCTCGCTCAAGCGCCTCACGATCTCGGCAAAATGGTGTAGCACCCTGTCTGGGGGACCTAGCACGTACGTGTCATCAGCGTACGACCAGAGCTGGACATCTCCCTCCGTCAGAACAGGCTCCAAGGCAAGGCGCTGTGTGAGAGCGAACAAGAAGGGGCTGAGGGGGTCTCCCTGGCGAGTGCCACGCTCCGAGTGCATCGTAACCACTCCCGTACCTGACCTGTAGTGGAGGTCCGAGGGCGTCCCGTAGAAGAGGCCGATGAAGGGGATCAGGCACTGGAACTCCGGACTGGCCTGCAGAGCCTGAAACATCCTGTCTCGGTGGAAAGAGTTAAAGGCATTCGCCACGTCCAGCTGCAGGACCACCCAGTCTGGGTGGTCAGCCAGAGCACGGCGGACGCCCCTAACCACGACCTCCGTCCCGCACGTCACCCCCACCCCAAACTGCTGCGACGCCAGGAAGACTCTCGCCATCTGGTCACGAAGCTGGAGACAGACTGCTCGCGAGAGAATGCGGACCAACACCTCGCCAATGGCAATCGGCCGAACATCCATGTTCGACTTCGCCAGAGCCACGAGGGTGGAGGACGCTAGCAAGGAGCGTGCAGCTGGAGCGCAACGACCTCGGAGCCACTGCTGGTACACAGCCAGGAGGAAATGGAGACTCTGAGGAAAAGCAAGAAAAGTGTCTCGGAGATGCTCAGCGACCCAACCGGACGGTCCTCCCGAGGAGCCCCGCGGAGCTGTAAAGATCGCGCGACGTAAGTGATCCACTGAGAGCACGAGGGCAGAACCCTGGAAACCCGGCAGCCAAGCTGGGGTCGGCCTCTCCGCGGGGGGGTGCTTCGACCGCAGGCGCTGTATCGTCCCCTGTGTATCTGGGGCTGCCTCTGCGGACTCGAGAGCCGCGCAGGCCCGTGACGTCTCATTGCATGCTGCCAGGCGAAGGCAACGTGCAATGCGTCGCTCGTCTGCTGTGGAGGGGTCGGTGGCGGTGCGTGACCGGTGACCCGTGCGCCGAGGGAGGGGGGTGCGGCGGCCTAGTGCATCTGAGAGTAGCTCATCCCACTCACCTCGACCAAAACGGGAGATGCGCGCTGCAATGGCAGCCGTGTGCGAGCGGTCGGGTGGCGTCGCTGGAGCAAGGAAAAGGGTCGGCGCTGCAGCAAGGAAGAAGGTAGGGCCAGCAGCCTCCGGGTCCTGGGCAATGCGGGCTAGGATCGAACTGAGGACGTCGAGATATCCTCCGCGGACCCTCTCCGGGACACGCCGGAGAGGGCGCGCATGAATACGCTCGGGCGAGAAGTACTCCGTCCAGTCCACCGAGTCAAGCGTCTGCCACTGTGCGTCGGTGAACTGTATCCCGGTCGCACGGGGCTGTGAGAGGGAAGGGAGGATCGAGGTGGCGTCATGGACGGCGTGTGCCCTGCGAGCTGCGTCCGCAGGATGGCAGAAGGGGGTGTGGTGCTGGAGCGCGCGTCGGTTCGCGAGGGGGCTCCTGCAGGTGGGGCATATCACGGCCTGGTCGGGTGAAGTCGCCGTGTCGGCGGGGTCGATCGGGGCCGTGGTGTCGGAACTGGCTGTAGAGGGGACCCCGTCCGCCGCCTGAGCTCCCCGAAAATCGCCTGGGATAGAGGGGGGAGAGGGCTCACTGGCCCCGTGCAGGGGGGGTGTCGGCAGAGGTGGAGGTGGTGCCACACTGGATGGGGCTGGGCCTCGTGGCAGTACCGGCCCCGAGGCCAGGGAGGAGGGATGTGGAGGTGGATCTGGAGTGTGGGCCGTGGTATGCCCCTCTCCCTCGGTGGGGTGGGGTCGGAGTGGGGGCTCTGCTACGCCAGACGGAGGGGCATCAGCAAGGGCGGATGCCTCATACCTGACACTGGTGCCCTCCTGCGCCACGGGTAGTGTGTCGGCAACAGGCTGAGTGGGGGGAGGCACAACCACGTCTGGGTGCGAGTGACATGGCCTCAGAACCAGGTCTGTCTCCATCGGTGAGGGGAGTGACGAGCCAGGCTGGGTAGTGGGAGGGGTAGAAGAAGGGACCGAGCGAGTGACTTCCGCATACGTCCGGATCCGGGCCTGTGGGACTGATAAGGGGGGGGCAGCCGGGGAGCTGCTAGGGCCCTGTATCGCCAGCAGGTCTGAGATGGCAGCCCTCACCTCCTGTGGGGTTCCGGCGACCTGCCTGCCTGCTGGAGAGGGTAGGAGCGTTGGCCGAGTGGGGGATGGGGTGGGGCCAGCTGGCCAGGCGGTGCTCAGGCATGGTCCTTGGCCTAAGAGGCCAGCATGGCCCTCTCCGATGGCCATGGGCTGCGGTAGGGAGCCATCGACATGGACGGGGTGGGAGGTATGAGACGAGGAGTCAGTGGCGTCTGCCATGACCACATCTCTCCTCCCATCGGCCTCTATCCTGGTAGCGTATGCGGTCGCCGCCACCTGGGGGGGGTGAAGACCGAGTGAGAGGCGGCCCGGGAGTGAATGAGCTGGTTCGTTCTCCTTGTCCCCTGGAGAGGCACACACGGGAGGCGGGTGTGGGTTAGATGGTTGGCCAGTAGGTGTAAGGCCTGGTGTGGGTTGAGCGTGATGTGGGGTAACGAGGGGCGCCTGGGAGGGGAGGGAGGGAGAGGGGAGTAGATTAGCTGGCTCTTTGCCTCCTTTCCCTTTGTTCTTCCGTCGGCGGCCAGCCTTGTGTTGGTTGTCCATGTCTGGCTGTGAAGGAAGGGGGGGCTGAGAAGCCGACAGGGTCGGTGGGGGGAGGACAGGTGGTTGGCCATGTGGGGGGAGCTCAGTGAGCATCCCATCTGCCCCTATGAGATGGGCGATGTTTGCCCAGCGTGGCCACTCGTGTGGAGGCGCACCGAAGGAGGGGTTTGTGTGCTGGGGGGAAGGGGCTAGGGCAGTGTGGAGGTTTGGCCGTGGTGCCTGCGGAGGGGGGAGTGAGGACTTAGGTGGCTGTATGGTGGAAGGGGGTGGGGAGGGGAGATGGGACCGCGGTTTTGAAGTTGTGCCCCCGTGCTGTGGGTTGGGGTCAGGGCCCCTCCCACTGGTGGCCTCTCCTGTGGGCCCCTCTACCGAGATGTCGTCCCCCCCATAAGCTAGGGGCGAGGGCCCTTGCGTATGGGTCTGAGCTGCTTGGGGGGGATGGTGTGAAAAGGGCAGCACTTTAGGTGAAAGGGTTGGGGCTGTGCGGCGGCTTGGGTGGTTAGGGTGTATGTAGGGTGTGGGGCGCTGGGGGGATGGAGGGTGATGTGGCCCGGTTGAAGTTTGGACCTGCGAAATGTGTGTAGCTCCGGGTGGGGGAGGACCTGGTGGAGGGGGAGGTAGCAGGCAGGCAGGAGAGGATTGGGTACTGTTAGGGGTCGGGGAGCAGGGCTCCGCCAGGAAGGCCAGGGCTCTGGCTGCTCCCCGTGGTGCTCGGGGGAACCCTTGGGGGTGGGGGCAGGAGTGTGCTGGTCTTGGGGGCGAGGGGAGGAGCGAGGAGGGGTGAGAGGTGAGAATGGGGGCATCCTTGGGAGGCTCCGCCCTTACTACGCCTGTGCGCCCTCCCGGTGGACCGTCTTCATGCGAGGGGTCTGTCATTGGGGGAAGAGGGGGGGGCTGGTCATAGGACTGTGTAGGAGTCGGGGAACATGGCTCCGCTAGGAAAGCCAGGGCCCTGGCTGCCCCACTGGATCCTGGAGGGGGTCCCGGAAGGTGGGGGCGGGGGTGTGGTGCTTCTGGGAGAGAGTGGGCTGAAGAGTGGGGGGTAGGGGTGGGCGCGCCCTCAAGGGGCTTGGTCCTTCGTACCTCCTCCAGTCCCTCCATCGGTTCACCTGCCATTGGGGGGTTGGGAATGGTGGGGGAAGTAGAGACCTTGCCATGGGGCTGCAAGGGGGCTAGATCAGCCTCATCGGCGGGTGTGAGGTAGTGGTTCAGTGGCCCGTCGATGTGCATCGCGTCCTCGGGTGCCCCTACGCCCCCTGAGCCCACACCCCCTGCTGGCTCTTCCCTGCCCGCCCTTTTTGCGGCCCCTTGCGCTCCATATGCCGTCTCTCTCCGCCCTGCTGTGGCCTCTGTCGCGCCTACAGCAGCCTCCACCGCCCCCACTGGCTGTGCCATGGCCCCCTCTCTTACTTCGGCTGCAGCCATACCTTTTGTCCGTGTGGCCCTTGCTGTCCCTTCTCCTGCTGCAGTCACTCTCTCGCCTCCCCCTGCTACAACCGGGGCCGCGCTCTCCATTGCCGCTGCCTTCGTTACACTCTTCCCCCTTGCAGCCGCTATAGCCCTCTCCCTTGTCCCTGCCCCAACCGTGGCCCCGGCCGCCCCTGGTGCAGCCTCTGTGGCCTCACCTGCTGCGGTCTTTGCAGCCTCACCTTCTGCGGCCCCTGCAGCCCCACATGCTGCAATTCCTGCAGATTCAACTGCTGCGGCCCCTGCAGCCTCCCCTTCCACCAGCCCTGCGGCCTCACCTGCTGCAATCCCTGCAGCCTCACCTACTACAGTCCATCCAGCCCCCCCTGCTGCAGTCCCTGCAGCTTTAAATGCTGCTGTCCCTGCGGCCTCACCTACTGCTGTCCCTGTTGCCTCACCTGCTCCTTCCTCTGCGACCTCGGCTGCCCCTTCCCGTGCGACCTCTACTGCCCCTTCTTGTGCAGCTTGTGCTGCTCCCTCCCGTGCAGCCTCTGCTGTCCCTTCCCAAGCAGCCGTTGCTGCCCCTTCCCGTGCAGCCTTTGCTGCCCCTTCCTCCGCAGCCTCTGCGGCACCTGCAGCCCCACTTGCTGTAGTTCCTGCAGCCCCACCTGCAGCGGTCCCTGCAGCCTCACCTGCTGTGGTCCCTGCAGCCCTAACTGCTGTGATCCCTGCAGCCTCACCTGCTGCGGTCCCTGCGGCCTCACCTGCTGCGGTCCCTGCAACCTCACCTGTTGCGGTCACTTCAGTCTCGCCTGCTGCGGGCCCCACAGCCTCACCCACTGCGGTCTCTGCAGCCCCACCTGATGCGAGCTGTGCCGCCTCACCTGCTGCGGTCCCTGCAGCCAGCTCCGCTGCTCTTCTTGCAACTCCCCATCCTGGGTTTTCCGCAGTGACCTCGGCAGCCCCTTCCCGTGCAGCCTTTGCTGCCCCATCCCGTGCAGCCTCTGCTACCCATTCCTCTGCAGCCTCTGCTGCCAATTCCTCTGCAGCCTCTGCTGCGCCTTCCTTTGCAGCCTCAGCTGCCCCTTCCTTTGCCTCCTCTGCTGCCCCGTCCCGTGCAGCCTTTGCTACCCCTTGACAGGTAGCCTCTGCTGCCCCTTCCGCTGCAGCCTCTGCTGCCTCTTCCCGTGCAGCCTTTACTGCCCCTTCACCCATAGCCTCACTTACCCCTTCCCCTGTAGCGTCTGTTGCAAAGTTCTCCCCTGCTCTGCCCTCTCCCACCTTTATGTGCCTGGGTGCGCGTGTGGGATTTGGCATTTTCATGTATGTTTTGGCCTGAGAGTGGGAGGTAGTGTGTGAGTTAGCAGACCTCTCCCCTGGGCGTGCACAGGCGCCCCCGCTATCATCTGGATGGAGGGTGGGCGAGGATGGGGCAGTGGGGTTGGGGCGGGGTTTTGAGCGTGCTGGCTCCTCGTCGTGTGTTTCTTCCAGTGGGGCTTGGCGTTCCTGCACTCCATCTTCTTCAAGGGTACGCTTCTGGCCCCGGGGGTCAGGGCGCTTGGGTGTTTTCGCTTGCTCCGATGTGTGTTGTTTTTTCCTAACTGTTGAAGTGGGAGGAGTGGGTGCGTAGGGGGTGGCTCTGCTGCGGGCCCTCCCAGATCGCCGAGGGGCTCCCGGGTCTGCCTTCCCCCCACTCGCGGGGTGCTGGGGCATGGTTACAGGAGCGGCATGCCTGGTGGTGGCGGTGTGGGTGGCTGGGATTGGCTGGAAGGGGCGTCAGAGGGAGTAGATACTTCCTGGCAGAGGCCGGGGTGAGGGGGGGTAGCTTGGGAACAGGGGAAGGGGGTAGGGAAAGGGGTGCGTGGAGGGCTGGAGAGGGGGTAGGAGGGGGCAGACCAGTGGAAGGGGTGGGGGACTGCAGAGGGAGTGGCTGGGGGACAGAAAGGGAGAGGAAGTGGTGGCGGGTTGCAGGGGAGGTGGGGGAGCGGGGGTGATGGAGCGGGAGGTGGGCAGGGTGGTGGAACCGAAGGTGGGGGGCTGGAACAGAATTCAAAGGGAGGTGGGGGTGGGCAGGTGAAGCAAAGGGGTAAGGGAAAGGAGGAGGGCCAAGGAGGAGGGGCAAAGGGCAGAGGGCAAGGGGCGAATAGCTGTTGACGAGGGAACGGGTGGTCAAGCTGGTGTGAGCCTGGCAGTGGGTAAAGGAGAGGCCCCGGGGCGGGAGGTGTGAACGTTGGAGGGCAGAGAGGGCACCGAAGGGAGGGACTGTGGTGAATGGAGAAGTAAATGGGGGGCTGAAACACAGGGGACGGAGGGGACGGGGGACACGGCGATAGGTGATAATAGCGGAGGGGCGGCCCCCAGGGGGGAGTGAAGGTGGAGGATATGAGGAAAGGGGGGGTCTGGGGTGGGTTGGGGAAGAGGGCGGGAAGGCACAGGGGGCAGGAACACGGGGAGTAGAGGGTGGCTGCGGATGGGGAAGGCTGTCTAGTGCCGGGGTGGGACAGGTGGATCGCCGGGGGGACAGGGGGAAAGGAATGCTGGGGTGATGTCCACGCTGGATACAGATGAGGGGGAAATGGCGGCTGGGAGGGTGAGCCCGGCTCGTAGAGAGGTGGTGGGCCGAGTGGGGGTGGGCTGCTGAAGGGAGACAGGTGGGGGGAGAGAGGGGGTACGCTGCAGGGAGGGAAGTCCTCGTGTTGTACCCATTTATGCCCCTTGCTCGGCACGTGCCGGGGAGGGGCAAGCGGGAAAAAGAAAGGACGATTTTAGCGCGTCGCATCTTTCCAACCTCGTTTTTTTGCCCGAATGACGGCTCAGCGGGGTGGGGGGGCGCAAGAGAGGCTTGCCCGCGCGAAGAAACGCCCCGTGCACACGACCGTTGGGCGGTTGGAAGCCGCACGCGGTCGCGGGGGTGGAGAGCGGAAACGGGCAGCCGAGGGAGGGTGGGGGCGGTTGGATGGGACTGGGGTGTACGGGGGGCCAGAGAGTTGAGAAGGCAAGGGGATGGGCAGCAACGGGCAGGGGTTGGGCCAGCTGAGGGCAAGGAAAAAGGGCGGGCAGAGGGTGAGCAGAGGGGCGAGCGGTGCAAGGGAGGCACCAGAGGGAGGAAACCAGTTGCATCAAGGTGGGAGGTGAGGGGCTTGCAGGGGGGTGGAACAGGGGTAGGGAAGGGGCAGAACGGGAGGATGTGGGTAGGGGGGGTGCGGGGAGAAGAGAGAGAGAGAGAGAGGGTAGGAACGAGAGGGGGCTTGGGGTTTTGAAGGGCTAATGGTAGTAAGGGGGCAGCAAGGAGGGGGAGAAGGGGGGCGTAGCAAGGGGAAAGCAAAGGGCATGGGGGGAGGAGGGGAGGGGAAGGGAGGGAAGAGGCTGAACGTACAATGCGGAGAACCGAGGGGCATGGATGGTAGGGAACAAGGGCAGAGGTGCGGGAAATCAAGGGCAGGGAGGGGAGAAGCGATGGGTGCGGGCAAAGCAAAGGAGGGGCAGAGGGGGTACAAGGTAAGCACAGGGAGGGAAGTAATGTGGGGCAGGGAGGGGAGAAACCAAGGACAGGGGCACGAGCAGCCAGGGGCAAGGAGGGAACGGAGGTGAGGCACGGAGAAAGCAAGGGAGGTGCAGGGAGAGGGGAAAACGGGCGTGGGGGGGTGGAAAACGAGGGGCAGGGCGGAGAGGAGGGAGAGGCAGGGGGGGGGAGAAGCTGAGCACACAGAGGGAGGAAACGTGGGGCAGGGAGGTGGAAAGCCAAGGGCAAGGGGGGGAGAGTGGAGGTGCAGGGAGAGGGGGGAGGAGGGGAGCGGAGAAAAGCAGCGAGGTGCAGGGAGGGGAGACACCGAGCGCAGAGGGGCCAGAAACGAGGGGTGGGGTGCGGATTGGGGAGAGGCAGGGAGTGGAGTAGCTTAACGAGTGGAAGGAAGAAGCGTGCGGCAGAGTGGGGGAGGGGGGAGGAGAAGGTAAACGAGGGGAGGGCACGGGCGGGGAGGGACGAGCGGCGGGCGGTGGGAAACGGCAAGGGGGGGCAGGGAGGGTCAAAAGAGGCAGCGAGGGAGCGGGCACACGGAGGGTAGGGGCGGGGGGAGCGGATGGCACGAGGGGGCAGGGGGTGTGACTATGAAGGGGGGACCCCGGGCAAGGGGCGTGTACCGGTCGGGGCATGGGACGGACGTGGTACGATCATACCTCGGCTACTACGCCGGATCCCATCAGAACTCCGAAGCTAAGCGCCGGTGGGCGAGAGCAGTACTGGGCTGGGTGACCTCCCGGGAAGTCCTCGTGTTGTACCCATTTATGCCCCTTGCTCGGCACGTGCCGGGGAGGGGCAAGCGGGAAAAAGAAAGGACGATTTTAGCGCGTCGCATTTTTCCAACCTCGTTTTTTTGCCCGAATGACGGCTCAGCGGGGTGGGGGGGCGCAAGAGAGGCTTGCCCGCGCGAAGAAACGCCCCGTGCACACGACCGTTGGGCGGTTGGAAGCCGCACGCGGTCGCGGGGGTGGAGAGCGGAAACGGGCAGCCGAGGGAGGGTGGGGGCGGTTGGATGGGACTGGGGTGTACGGGGGGCCAGAGAGTTGAGAAGGCAAGGGGATGGGCAGCAACGGGCAGGGGTTGGGCCAGCTGAGGGCAAGGAAAAAGGGCGGGCAGAGGGTGAGCAGAGGGGCGAGCGGTGCAAGGGAGGCACCAGAGGGAGGAAACCAGTTGCATCAAGGTGGGAGGTGAGGGGCTTGCAGGGGGTTGGAACAGGGGTAGGGAAGGGGCAGAACGGGAGGATGTGGGTAGGGGGGGTGCGGGGAGAAGAGAGAGAGAGAGAGAGGGTAGGAACGAGAGGGGGCTTGGGGTTTTGAAGGGCTAATGGTAGTAAGGGGGCAGCAAGGAGGGGGAGAAGGGGGGCGTAGCAAGGGGAAAGCAAAGGGCATGGGGGGAGGAGGGGAGGGGAAGGGAGGGAAGAGGCTGAACGTACAATGCGGAGAACCGAGGGGCATGGATGGTAGGGAACAAGGGGGGTGCGGGAAATCAAGGGCAGGGAGGGGAGAAGCGATGGGTGCGGGCAAAGCAAAGGAGGGGCAGAGGGGGTACAAGGTAAGCACAGGGAGGGAAGTAATGTGGGGCAGGGAGGGGAGAAACCAAGGACAGGGGCACGAGCAGCCAGGGGCAAGGAGGGAACGGGGGTGAGGCACGGAGAAAGCAAGGGAGGTGCAGGGAGAGGGGAAAACGGGCGTGGGGGGGTGGAAAACGAGGGGCAGGGCGGAGAGGAGGGAGAGGCAGGGGGGGGGAGAAGCTGAGCACACAGAGGGAGGAAACGTGGGGCAGGGAGGTGGAAAGCCAAGGGCAAGGGGGGGAGAGTGGAGGTGCAGGGAGAGGGGGGAGGAGGGGAGCGGAGAAAAGCAGCGAGGTGCAGGGAGGGGAGACACCGAGCGCAGAGGGGCCAGAAACGAGGGGTGGGGTGCGGATTGGGGAGAGGCAGGGAGTGGAGTAGCTTAACGAGTGGAAGGAAGAAGCGTGCGGCAGAGTGGGGGAGGGGGGAGGAGAAGGTAAACGAGGGGAGGGCACGGGCGGGGAGGGACGAGCGGCGGGCGGTGGGAAACGGCAAGGGGGGGCAGGGAGGGTCAAAAGAGGCAGCGAGGGAGCGGGCACACGGAGGGTAGGGGCGGGGGGAGCGGATGGCACGAGGGGGCAGGGGGTGTGACTATGAAGGGGGGACCCCGGGCAAGGGGCGTGTACCGGTCGGGGCATGGGACGGACGTGGTACGATCATACCTCGGCTACTACGCCGGATCCCATCAGAACTCCGAAGCTAAGCGCCGGTGGGCGAGAGCAGTTATTCATTAATAAGGGAAAGTCAAATACAAGTCGAATATAATGGTTTTTCCAAAACTAGGAAATTTCGGCATGACCATTTCCCTATGAGGACGGTAAATATATATTAGTAGGTAACAAGGGAAAGAGAGAAAAGGGAAGAAAGGATCATGAGGTAAGAAGAGGTAGTAGGAGACAGAAGAGAGTGGTGGGAAGAGAAAAGAAGGATAGAAGAAGGGAAAGAAAGAGGAAGGTGGAAGGAGAAGAGAAGAAAGGGAGAGAGACTAAGGAGGAGGAAACACCTAGGGACCAAACACGGCAGCAACCCGCACGACAGCGCGGGCCCAGTGTTTCAAGCACAGCCACTATTGTTTTCTACACATACGCATCATATATATATTGCATATCTGCAGCACTCTCGAAGCACCCTGTGATATGGTGCCAGGTACCCTGCCCCGCACCCAGTGGAACCGGTGCGGGCATCCACCCGTCGTCGGATCCCCCCGCCTGCCGCACCGCATGCTGGATGATACATTGAGCCTGCGCGCGCTGCAGCGCCACGGAGAGGCGTGTAGTGAGTCCTGCCTCAAATATCCGTGCCGATCCGTCATCCCCCCCTCCCCTATCCCTCCTCCGCTGTGCTATCCGCTTTGCGCAGAGCCCCAGAAACTGACGCAGCGGCTCGCTGAGAAGGCCAAAGGTCTCAACCACGCACGCGTAAAAGTGTGGTGCCGGCTGCAACCCCTCTAAGTGCGGCCCCCAGTGACGCAGCTTCTCCTGCACCCGCCTAGCTGCTGCCACTCCAATCTGTGTGGGGGTCGCCCGTCTCAGCTGCACGTTCCCCTCCCGCTGTGGATCCGCTATGGAGACATCCACAAGGACCATCAAACCCTGCCCAACGTCGCGGCACGTGAGGTCTGGGATGCGGGAAGGGGTGCCTACGCGGCCTGTGCGTCCGACTGGTCCCTGCTGCTGCGCGGGCTGCTGCCCTGTCTGGTCCCTCGGTGCCTCCTCTCCGGTCGTCTCTCTCCCCCTGCCCTCTCCTCCGCCCGCCTGTCCTCTTCCCTCCCCCTCTCTACCCTCCCCCAACCCTCCCAACCCCTCTACTCGATCCCCTGCTGCCTCTCTCACTCCCTGGTCCTCCCCTCCCGATCCCGCTGCCCCCCCTGCACCTCCGTCCGCTCTTTGCTGCTCCCGCTCCTGACCCACCCCCGGGCCCAAACCCGAAGGCGCCGCGCCCTGGGCCTGCGGCCTCCGCTGGCTCTCCTGCCGCTGTCTCTGCTGTTCCCCCTCCTCGCCCTGGCCAGTCTGCTCCCCCTGCCGCCCCCTCAGCCCCCCTGCCCCTCGTGCCACCCGCCCCCGCCGC